GAAATGAGCTCAATGAGGTGCTTGTCCAACCTCCTCTTGAACAACTCCAGAAACAGCAACTATACCATCTCTGCTGAGAATGTGTTCCAGATTCTACTTACCCAGATGAAAAAGAAGTTTTTCCTTACGTTTTTTCCGTAGGTTTTTCCAGCCTAAATTTTTCCTCAGTTAGCTTGTGCCCATTGGTCCTCATCCTCCCAAGGGTTGCCTTCCTGAGGAGTTGCTCCCCTAGATCTTGGTGCTCACCCCTGACATACTTGTAACCGGCTATCAAGTCACTTCTCAGTCTTCTCTTACTCAGACTAAACAGACTCAGTTCTCAGAGTCTCTCCCCATAGGGCCTATCCTCCAGGACCCTAATCATATGGGTGTTCCTTCTCTGTACCCTCTCAAGCTTATCCACATCCTTCTTGAAGTGTGGTGCCTAGAACTGGACACAGTACTCCAGCTGTGGCCTCACCAACGCCAAATAGACTGGGAGGAGCACCTCTCTGGATCTATTTGCAATGCATCAGCTGATGCACACTAGAGTTCTATTTGCCCTGCTGGCAATTTCATCGCACTATTGGCTCATGTTCATCTTCTGGTCGATTGTCACCCCCAGGTCCCTTTCAGATGCAGTGCCAGCCAGTGGACCACCAAGCATCATATAGTTATGGTGAAAGTTCTTCCAACCCAGATGAAGGACCTGGCACTTGTCCCTGTTGAACCTCATCTGATTTAGCCCATAGGACCAGTCTGTCAAGGTCATCCTGGATTCTTACCCTATCCTCTGATGTGCCCGCATTTCTTCACAGCTTGGTGTCATCTATAAACTTAATCATTGTGCTTTCCACGCTCTCATCCAAGTCATTGATAAAGATGTTAAAGAGCACAGGCTCAATCACTGATTCCTGGGGGACACCACTGGAGACTGCCCTCCAGGATGAGGCCATCCCATCAGTTACAACTTTCTGGGAACAGCCTCTGAGCCAGCTGTCAACCCACCTCACTGTCGACTGGTCTAAGCCAGTACCCTCCAGTTTAATTGAGAGAATCTCATGGGAAACAGAACCAAAGCCTTTACTAAACTCTAAGTAAATTATATCAACCTCATGTCCCTTGTCCAGCTGGTTAGTTACCTGGTCATAAAGGAAGCCAGGTTTGTTAGGCATGATCTACCCTCAACAAAGGTGTGCTAGTTGCTTCTTAATACCCCATCAGTTACAAGCTTCATCACAAGTTACAAGCTTGTAATTGATGGTGTCCTTAACAATTTTTTCAAAGATTTTTCCCAGGACTGAAGTCAGACTGACTGGTCTATAGTTTGCAGAGTCATCCCTCTTCCCTTTATTAAAGATAGGTACCTCTTCCAGTTGTTCAAGACTACTCTTGAGTTCCACGACTCTTTGAACAGCTTTGCCAGTGACCCTGCTATGAGCTCAGCCAGTTCTTTCAGGACTCACGGATGCAGGTCATCTGGCCCAGCAGACTTGAAAGCGTCCAAATGTTCTAAGAGTACCCTCACCTGTTCAGGCCTGATTTCATGTGGTCTGTTGTCTTCTCCATATTCCCTGGACCTCTGCACAGGTGAACAGCTCTTGTCTGATTTCAGGAATATTGATGTGAAGTAAGTATTTAGGAGCTCTGCCTTTTCGCAGGGATCAACTGTGGGCTGCCCCTCTATATTCAGTAGGGAGCCCACAGTGGCGCTCGATTTTTTCTTGCTCCCTATGTACCTATAGAAGGACTTTTTGTTGTCCTTTATTTTGGTTGCCAGCTTGATCTTCATCAGTTAAGTCTGATACTACATCCATCCAGGTTTATCTTAAAACAGTTTGGGCCATTTTGAAAGCAGTTTATGTTCACTGAACGTCTGTTGTGTTACAGATTTGAACCACTTTCCAAACACTTATACCTGTTTGTGTGTAACTTCTGTCCCCAGCCTTTAAACTCACCTGCAGCCTCGGGCTGAAGGCATGACTTGACAGCCTCAGTCTGCTCCAGGAAGCCTCATGTTCACTGCTCTCTCTGGCTTTCCTGGCTCCTGACTCAACTTCAGCTTTTCCTGACCCTGCTCTTGGATATTCTCTGAAAATCAGTACCTGGCTCTGATTCTCCTAGCTTCTGACTTCAGCTTGCACCCTGGACTCTCTCTCAAAGCTCCCTCAGCTCCCCTGGAACCTGGTCTTGCATTCCCTGTTCCACTGATCCAGACCCTGACCTGATGCCCCGGTAACCTGTATCCCCACCTAGGTGACCTTCTGGTTGCCCTTCAGGTACAGCCTACCTGCAGATACAGCCACCTACATCCCTCGTGTCCTTTTCTGCTAGTACATTAGCCCAGTTGAAGAATCTGATTTAACTGTGTTCAGATTAAACGGAAGCATCGTTTCTGTCTCTTCTTTTGCTTCTTACTTTGTACTGAAGTTCCCAAAGGCCTTCCCACCATAACATTTTCTGTTTTCTTCTATGAGCCATGACTTCCCTGGGCATCAGAATGTATAGACTGGTTCACCTTGCTGCCAGTCGGTAAGCAATGCAGGACATTGGCTCTGGCAAAGGTTGAAAGAACACTGGAATGGAGATTATTGCTTGGTCCCCTAGAGGGAGCTCTTACTGTGCTTAAATCTCAGCTCATTTCACATAACAGTGCAGGCTGGATATGAGGAGGGAAAAGTTATCACTTCTTTTGCTACAGTGAAACCTGCACATTCCTAGGCAATAGAAAACCAAGGTAGCTGTGTCCTCACATACCCCAGGTTCCTTCCTTGCCCCCTCCATGTCCTCAGGTCTTCTAGTACAGCATTTCTCAACCCATGGGTTGTGACCCAAAAGTGGGTCTCAAAAATATATACTGGGCCCACAAACAAACTTGAAAAATGAATCGAGAAACTTTAAAAATATATTCTCCCTTAAAGGAGAGAAATGTGGGAAACCGTGGCTTTTCCCTTGCAAGCTGGTAAAGTTTCAGCCTGCAAGGGACCGCTTGGGGCCTCCCATGCCCCACACACACTCCACCTGCCCCATGCCCCTCTCCCCCTTGTCCCACACACTGGAGGTTGGGGCCTGGGAGTGGGAGGCAATGGGCTGGGAGTGAGGAGCACTGGGTCAGGGCAGGCCATCAATGTTTACAAATGAGTCCTGCTACAAAAAAGGTTGAGAACCACTATTTTAGAACATTTGTGTAACGATGTTTTGCAGGACTTGGATTTTAATACTTACCTGTATTTCCCTATAAAACAGCCAGAGGACAAGAGGTGCAGTCCCAAATATGAGGGATTTATCACCACCATAGTGGTGAGATGTCTTCTACCTCAATGGCAAAATTCCTTAGGGACTTCAGAGAATCTCTGACTTCTCTCTGAGCTGTCTCAGCCTTTGGAAATAGATGTTGGCCATTGTGTGAACAAGTTTTACAGACTTAAACCAACAGAATGGGAGATCAGCCTTGATTTTGGAGCAGGCTGCCTACAGTGTCTATCTTCCTAACGATTAACAATCTCTTCTCTAGCAAACCAGTGATTCCCATACTGAGCTGGGTTACAAATCCCCTGCAGATCTTTCTCTGGCCTTCACTGTATTTCCACATTGGTTTGATAGATAAATCCTATGGTTTGCAAATTGAATCTTCTGGACCATGGGCGACTGGTGACACCTTAGTCGGGGGGGGTCGTTCCCCCCCCCCCCCCCCAACCAACGCCCCCCACCCCGGGGGGGGGGGTGGCCCCCCCCCCCCCCCCCAAGACCAGGGCCCCCAACCGGGGAGGGGGGTCCCCGGCGGCTGATCCTGCCGATCCTGCTGACCAGGGGGGCAGGTCCCCCTAGCTGCCAATCCTGCAATGGCCAATCACTGCAACTGGTCGCTGCAGATGTTTGTGGGAGCAGCTGCAGCAATCGCCTGGTGCTTGCAAAGTGGGGGCCGGCGCTTGCAGAGGGGAGTGCCAGCACTCCTGCCTCCCCCTCTACCCATCGCCTAAGCAGAGAACACAGCTGGTCAGGGGGTGCACCGGCGCTCTCAGGGGGTGCACATGCACCCTCATGCATCCCCTACACGTCGCCACTGTTCTGGATCATTATTGCTAAGACAAGAATTATTAGCATTTATTAGCAGAACAATGGATTTTCTGACATTCATGTTTCCCAGCTGAGTTATGAATCCCAGGGAGAAGAGAGACAACAATATACTTTTTCACAACACCCCAGGCTTTGCATCATTTCTTAAATTTAAATTTTACAAATTTACAGGTGGGCAATATTTAAAAATGCAAAACAAGGAATTTGTTGATAGTTCAATGCATTGATAGTTTGATAGTTTTTCTGATAATTTGATAAATTGCTTTGTTCCTCTGCTCACTGAGTCTTTGAAGCTCTAGCTTGTTCTGCTCAGAGGCCACATTCAGGCAGCTGGCAGTTGTCATCATATTAAAATAGCATCCAATGAAAAAGCATAAACTGTGGCCACAAAGGAAAAGACATTGGTGCAACATCTGACCAGTGGGGAAATGACAATGATAGATATGGGTGAACTCTGGTCCAGGTCAGAGTCCTAACTGGACATGAACTAGAAATGATAAGAGGGAGAGAGAGGGACTGTCTGAGTCAAAGCAGATGGCTCATAATGCAATCTCTGTCTGCCTTTTGCATAGATTACCACTGCTCCTACTTGGCTTTCCATTGCAAATTGGTTTCAGGATCCTGCAACATGCAAAGCTAGCTTTTGCTGATCTGACCACTGATTTAAAGTAGCATCCCTGAACTGGAACAATAGAAGGTCAGATGTAAACTGTCTGCTACATCCAAAAAAGAAGAGGAAGAATAAATCCACAGTGCTTTCTCCTTTTTAGGTTTTACAGCCAGGAAGTGTTCGTTTTACCATAAGCAATCATTTCTGGTTTACTACCTTAGCCACATTAGGGGAAAACATCCAAAAAATCACCAAGAAAGGAAAATATGACAGATCAGAAAGAAACAACTAACACTCCTCTTTCATATAGAAACCATGGAGGGGGATGTCTTACCTTGGATGTGTAAGGTGCAAAGGGTCCCAGTTCTGGTCTGGTGCTTCTAGGCACAAAAGAGAGCAGTAATGACAGGAACAGGCCTGAGGACAGGAGCAGTTTAGGATAGCTTATCAATCTGCCAATGGTTGGAAGTCCCCACAAGTGGCTTTTCTGTCAGGCATGTAGAGTTTGAGTCTCTCCCTACAAGGTCTGACATTCATTATGCTCATTGTTTCCCTGAAGATCTGACACATGAGACTTGGCTCTTTTCTGACGGGCACCAATGCTACATTGCTGTAACTCCACCAACTTCACTGGAATGACTTCTGATTTATATTGGAGCAGATTCAAGTCCCGACAGTGTCTAATTCTCAGAGGTCAGCACTGTCTGAAGGGCTCATGAGGTTCATTAGACATCTGCCAGAGGAGAAGACGACCCTCCTAACCTGCTTTAACATTCCTGTTAGCCCTTCAGTAGCATGCAGCTTTCTTCTGATGAGCTGCTCCCAGCTCCTGCCCAATAGCAGCTTTTGCATCCTAGCCATGCTCCTGTGGAGCAGATGAAGTGCTCAAGTGATGTGTCCAAGGGTCCTGAAGGGAGTGGACTGAGCCATGTCTCTTGCTATCACTTCCACTGTGCATAGCCATGCCACTATTTATTAGTATGTGCCTGCAGAGATGTGCCTGCTCTGTGATCACAGTAAATGCTACCTGCAGCATTACTCCAAGCCAGAGAAGGCTGGGCTCGCCCTGCATGCCTACCCAAGAGAGAAAGGAGTTGTGGAGGGAGTCATTATTCTGCTACGTGAGCTACCCACATGATACATTACAGGCCAGGGGAAAGCAGTCTCTGTGGGCCGGCTATTCCTCATCCCTCACCAGTGAGTCCTCACTTCATCCCCCTGCCATCAGACTTCAGTACACTGGAACCAACCTGGGGATGTAAGTAATCTGCCTCTGGTAAAACTCACTATCCCCAGGGAGTGTGCAGAAGCACAGGGGTCAGCAACGTTTTTGGGCAGAGTGCCGAAAACACCCGCGACCTCAACTTGGAAGATGTTGGCATGCCTGGGGTTGATGGTAGGGAAGCCACAAGGTGCCCAATCCTTGTTGAGGCAAAGCAGCCCTGTCCCCTTCCCTGCCATCTGCCCTACGGCACGCATGCCAAGCAAAATGCCTTTGAGTGTCACATTCTGGCACCTGTGCCAGGGGTTGCCTACCCCTGATAGGGGCTGTGACCCTGGGACATAGTGAGGTCCCTGACCTGCTCCAGGGCTAAAGCAGCTTTGTGCTCTTCCTTACTCAGGGCTACTGGGAAATCTTTTGTAAGCCAATGGGTGGGTGTGCTGAAAGCAACTGAAACAAAGGCACCTATCCCATTACAACAACTGTAATTTGGCTGTAAGGATATTATTTTCCCAGCTGTTTTCAGGGGCTCGTAAATCCATTTGTTTTGCCTCAGGAGCAGTTTATATTTATCGTGGCGCCTTTATCAGAGTTGGACAGAAATAAGCACACTCCTAGCCAAGCATAGACTGAAAAACATCAGGATTTCCCTTTACACCACAGGACGCAACCCTGAAAAACCCTCCATCTGGAATACCAATAATTATGTAGGGTCTCACTCTCCCTCTACACTCTAAACGGGAAGAGGTGATTGCTTCACTTTGCTTCATGGGGCATCACTCTCTGCTGGGTACCCAGCCACCCATGCTGACTGAGAAGGGAAGGATTAGAGCCAGAGCTCCCCATAACCCCCTCTTCCACATAACTCATTTTTTTCCCACTTGCTTACAGCAGGTCAGTAGCCCCAACTCTCCTCCACATGGCTGGAGCAGTGCTGTGAACAATTCAGAGCACTGTCTGCACCCAACACTTTCTCCAAGTAGGTCATTTGAGGGTTGTGACAAGTCCCTTCTTTTGAGGTTTGGCCTGCATGAGCTCCCTTGCTAGCCTGGCAGCCTCTCCATGTGGTGGGAGAACTTGAACCTATGGATAAGATGCAGAACCCAGTACTGAGGAAAGCCAAGCATTAGTAATCCACTAGCCAATAGCATAACTAGGGGGGCAAGCAGGGCACCAGTCCCAGGCACCGACTGTGAGGGGGTGCCAGGACCACCTCTGCCTCCCTGGGACTTTTTACCATGGCAGGAGTAGCCCTGCCCTACCTGGCTGTAGGAGCTGGGCAGTGCAGCCCCACACTCAACAGTGTATCTGGGTGCTCCCCCTGGGGTGTTTGTCTTCCAGTAGGCTCAGCCCTGTGCCCAGTAGCACATCTGGGCTGGGAGAGCAAACAGCTCCAGGGATGGATCACAAGGAACCTATGCTACAAAGCTGATACCAACAGACCTTCTGTCTCCACTGCTGCTACCTGGGCTCTCTTCACAAAGAAGGCAGCTGCTACTGCTGCGCTGCTGCAGCAATAGTGGTAGCAGTAGCAGTAGTAGCAGCAGCTGCCTTCTCTGCTCAGAGATCCAGGGCAGGTGAGACTTCCCTTCCCCCTGCCCTCTCTACACTGGTCAACATAACCCCTCACCTCTACCCTGGGCACTGAATGAACTTGCTACTCCTCTGTCTCTTACTTCTGCCTTCAGAGTACTTGCTGTCTAACCCACAGATCTGGTAGATGGTGCAGTATGAAGGGGTCTTACAGGAGGAGCCCTGGTCTATCCATTAGACATCGAGTGTCAAACATAAGGCCCATGGACCAAATAGAGCATGTAGAGTTGGGTCATCTGGCCTGCTGTCTTCTCCTGGAGCTTCACACCAGCACCCCCATTACTTGTGACGCCAGCTAGTAGTGTTTGTATCTTGGAAGTGGGTGTTGGGATATCCTCTGGATATTCTGCTTAGTTAGTGACTTGTTTATGGTGGGAGGCAAGGATTTCTCAGGGCAATCTCTTTTACTGAACTAGCTACATAATCAGGACACAATTAGACAAGCTTTTGAATGCAAGACATTCTTCTTCAGATCTATGTTTACAGTGATAATTCTGTCACGGGTTTGCCTTTTCCCAATGACACCCACATTTCATTGTACCTGGCATTTGGAAGACTCCTTTGTACTGTTCATTATGCTCATATTACAAAGCCCTTTAGGACAGAGAGACCGCATCTACACAAGATTCTAACTAAAGTGACTATGCAATAGCTCATTACTACTGTGCAGTAGTGTCACATGGCACAAAGAGTGACATGATACTACCGTGCAGTAGTAACGAGCTACTGTGCAGTCAGTGTCACCTAAAAACCGTTTGGTGATGCTAACTCTGATTACTGCAGTCATTTAGTACTTGCGATGCAAGTGCTACATAATTGTGCAGTAACAACTACACAGTCAGCATGTCATGTAGACACGGCCAGAATGAACTAGTGAGTATGGTACTGCTTGTGGAAGTGAGGGACCTGAGTTCAACTGCTAATCTTAAAATGTACCCTCAGTCTCTGCCCTGCATTTGTAAAACAGGCACTTATTATAGCTTTGCTACCCTACAGGGTATTATAATAACAAATCCCATTGATGATGGTCAGGTGATCACATACTGTGGAGATAAGGGCCATATAAATACCTAGATAAAGTAAAAAAAAATCCCTCATGCACAGTATGCTTGATGCAGTCACTGGAATTCTTTTTTGGAGACAAAATAGTCATAAGCCTCAGCCATGCAACTAGGGCTGTTGTTCAAAATGTGTCCTTTTTATCTGTATCTCCAGCACTTCTTGCTGCCATTTTACATATAGCCTGGAAACTGTGCAGAATCCTCCCTCAATGTCAAACCTTAGATTGGCTCTTGTGCCAGTTACAGTCACATGCAAATAACGATCATGGAATTTGCCCAAGAGTAACCTTTCTTCCCTGAAGCATTCATGTTGCTAGAGGCTGTTCTCAACAGTCACATCATAGAGGCCTGCATTATGGTAGATGTCAGGAGGCATAGAAAATACCAGAGTGGAAATCAAGCAGAAAAAGGAGCTCAGCATTTCAACAACCAAAACCTTTTTATTTCTGAAATTTTAAAGGAGGCTGATGTTGTCCCTTTTTAATAAATGGCTCATACAACAGCAAGAGCTGGCTCATCTCACACAAACCATCTCTCTCTCTGGGGGAGAGGTTGCCCAGGCATAGAGGTAACTGCCCTGGGTGCTGACTTGGGGAGGGTGGAGGGCAAACAAAAGCAGCTGCTGCTGGCAGCCACACATTCATGATCACGAACTAAGAATTCCAGTTGATAAATTCAGGGCTACCCCCTCCGGTGAATGCATGCTGCTCTCCCCCCATAAAAATATAATTAATTTTTTCCTTGATCAGTGGATTTAGACTTGGATCTACCTTCATAGGATTTCTTTGCTACTCTCCTGGCCCTGATACCCTTTTGTTTTCAAAATCTTGCCTTCTCTCCAGTCTCCCAGCCGTGCTTCCTCTTCTAGCTGAACCTTTAGGTTCTCTTTCTCCCATGTCTCCCCTGTGAAGACACACAGAGGGCCCTTAAAGGGAGAGACCCAAGTGGCCCATTTCCTTCTGGCTGGGGAGGAGAGGCCCTTCATGTTTAACATGGGGTAAAAAAGCTCAGCGGCCAGGCAGATCAAATCAAAGTACCTTATTACTGCCCTCTCCCTGGCCCTTGACTGTGGCAAATAGGTCAGGGCATAGGAGACTGGTAGAGGGGATACGGGGGGGGGATGTGCCCCCCCCCCCAAGATTGGCCCCTGACTCGGCACCGCTCAGGACGGGGCAGTTTTTTTGTCACGCGGGCTGGTGGCATCCTGTGGGGTGCACACTAAGCTGCGGCACATAAGTATAGGAGTGGAGATGGGGCTTTTGGTCTACCCCTGGGCCTGCCCACAACCCCACTCAGGAGGCACCAGTCACCCCTGGGTCAGGGCCTTCTTTTCTCCTTTGAAACTGTAGCAAGGAGCTTCACTTCCCTCACCCCACCCCACCCCAGAGAAAGAAGCTAGAGGGTCTTGGGTCACTTTTCATGTTCACTCCCTTTTGAGGAGGAGAAGGGGAGAGGCGCAGAGCACACCCCTTAGAGGAGCAAGGTTGATCCGCTCTGAA